AGGGTGAGCGGAAAGGGGTGAACGAGTGTCAGATTAGTATTAACACCACAGGTTGACGTTCGTCCAAGTAGCGATCTTATGGTCTTAAAAGGCGATGGTTTACAAGTTGACAGCTAGTGCGAATCAAGAGCCCTAGGTCGAAAGGAATTACGTACCGAACCCTTTTTAAAATAGCTTCAACTGCATAGGGGGAACCTGCCCGGACGCATACCTCCCCCGGTACTCGTGTCTTCGGTGATCGTGTATGTATTTTGCCTCGTGTCGTTCCCTGTCGTCAGCTTACTGGCCATGGTTCAAGTTAGTGCATATTAACTCGTGTCAACTTTCGGTATATTGCCTATCTCATGAAGTGTCAAACGCAATTATGAAATTTATTTTTGATTCGAACAACGTACTTAAGTTGGATTGTAATACTGGTGATCGTACGGCCTATTCTTAAGATATTTCAGGATGCCGACTTATGAACGATCTGCTCTCTGACCGCCTGCAAAAAAGCAGACTGTCTTAATACTAAGAATTTTTCCATCGATTTTCACTGCCCTTATAAATTCAAATGCAATTTATAGAAAATATACGCAAAATATTCCTTCTTGTCCTCATTTGGCAACAAACTACGCCTTCCATTTGCATACCTGTTGAGACGGCATCTTTCGGTCTTGAAAAAATTGTACGTTGCCGAATAAATCTGAACCCTACTGGCCGTTACCTTGGTATTCAAGGTTTTCAAACGGTATGTCGTCTAGAGAAATGTATATCGTGACGAGGAAGATGTCACATAGCGCTCATAAAATTTTGCAATGGATGTGGATTCTGCTATATAGCTTGTAGACATATATATATATATATAACGTATTATGAATGAGCATTTCACGGTCGTTGCGACTTGTGCAGTGTGGAATCTTGTAGGCTGGTGTAGTGCAGTATAACTGGGACCTTTATTCATAGTTTTGAGAGGCACTGGAAAACAGAGACGCAGTTTTCATAATCAGTGAGCCATGCGGATATCTAATTAGGTTAGGTGTTGACTCTGCATATAGGCGTTCCAGGCAAAAAAGACGAAGTTCTCTATTTCTGCAGCTAGTGATCCTGCTACCGCTAGGATGCATTGCCACAGCGACTTTGCGTTACACTCCGGCACCCAACTAAGCGTTTTTAGTCACCAACGCATTTTAGAGGTATAGTTGGAAGCGGCCATTCTTTGGATATTGAATTGAGCTGTCAGGTGCACTCTGATTGGTCTGCAATCATGTTGGGGCCTTCCAGTTTTTCTAAGCTGCTCTGCAGAAGCAATCGAGGGTATACATGCACATTGTTGTCTGAGATGGAAGTCGGGGATTAGTAGCCAACTCGCTAAGTTTGTGCGGGATCTGGTTTGCTTGAAGCCGCGAATTCTGTATCAGAAGTCCAACGTTCTAACCATTGAACGTGGGACTCGGATGGTAAACCACCTGGGTTTGGGTTTGACCGGCTAATGAGCTATAATACTAGCCGCTGTGTGGCAACTGGTGGGGCTTGACGGTGAGCCCTGAGGCAGAACGGATCGAGTGAGTTCCATTAGTGATCGCGCTGAGCGTTTATCGACGAACTTATTATTCATCCATCTCCCTCTCATGCCTTCTATAGAACTCCTCGATGCTCTCTGACATATTCTCCTCGCCCTCATCCGCGTCACCATCGGTCCATATGAAGCTCGTTGACCTCTCCGAGGCGGTTGCCATCCAGAATAAGCAATCTATGCGTCACCGGAGCATCGACTCTTCCGTGCATTCGGACTTCTCTGTGATTGACAGGACTGACACGACGACAACACCAGCCCCACGCCAACCCTCCTCCTCCCAACGGCG